GGGTAGATACAACGACGACTTTGAGAAAGGTAGCTGAAGTCTTGCAGATTTCATAACTTGACAGGCTTCCATTAAGATTTAGCAAAGGTAAAGGTATTCTAGGTAAATTGATTTGTTTTGTAATTTAGCTGTCCAAATTAATTAACTGTTGCCATATTAATTCCCAGCCTCGCAACCAATCTTCGACGGATACCTAAAATGACCTGCTTGTATGAAAATTACTTTAACTAATAAATTGCACCATCCCAAATCCAAAGTAATGGACAGGAATTAGCCACCCGCCCTACTCAGGCATAACGTAATGCCTTGACTGTTTAACTCTGTTTTGGATACGCGTGCAATTAAGGTTCCGTCACTCCACATTCAGTAAGCAGCAATGCCTCGGGCCGTGTCAATAGCCTCGCAGCCCTTCTGTACGTCAACAATACATATTCTACCCTGGTCTCATGCCTTCTTCGGACTAAAAGAAAGACTTGGGAGTGGCACAATAGTGCTGCAAGCTAAATCACTGAAATAAGTTTTGCTAAATTTGTGTTGAAACAGTTGTTGCTATATTTCCATTTGATGCAAAGCTCTCCACTAAGCAGATCGTTTCGAGTGACAGTGGAACCAAATTCAAACCACCAACTCAAAGATAAGCTGCTAACTGTAACTTTATAATAATAATAATATTTGCTTGTTAAAACTATGCAATTTTTGACTGTTGTTGGAATAGAGCAATAAAGTATGGAAGACCCAAGAACATGTCCATGTGGCTCAGAGGCCAAGCAGCAGAGTGAAATTACAACCTGTATAGGTCGAGGCGCCCAAATGATTAGACACATAGATATGCAACCTGTTAGATCACTAAAATGTTCCTCTCCGCTTTTGCAGTTTGTCTCAGTCCACACGTAGATCATCCTCCCTCGTCGGCCGTCACAAAGTAGTCAGGCCTTTTATCAATTGCCCCTCAAAACCGTGTTTTCATGTCAGTGCTGCTCAATCATCCACCTATCTGGGTTTTATTCGTCTGATAGTGGAAAGAAGAAGGCTTTGATGTTTATGCGATTTACTTTTTTGAATAGATGCTATAGACAACTTCGTTATAAAATTTCCCCAATCGTTTAGGTCCGGGTTCTCTTGAGTTGTTTTTCTTCCTTGTGAAGGACCCACAAACGATAAATTCTAAAATAACCTCGGTTGAGGTTAGATTTGTTGTTATTTGATTAAATCTTATTGCCATAAAACGCTGATATTCATTTGCTATTGGCCGGGTTTTACTACAACTGACTCCATTAAGTGATATTTGGCATTTTTCTCTGCACAACTGCATTACTCGCTTAATTGATCCAGTTTACTCATTTTCGTGCAAAATATCATAAGCCGATATGGGCGAGGGAGTGAGACAAAAACATCTTTTGAGATTTTCCAAGATATTCTTAGACGCAGAGCGATTATATTAGGGCAACTGGAGCTTTTTGCATCGTCTTTGGTGCTTTTGCAAGGTCCAGCAAATCAAAATCTGACATTTAAGACAACGCCTGAAACATACCTCTTTGTATTAATGTCATCCCAGTCCCAAGAGTAAGGACTATTTAGCCCACTGTTTGATTTAAGGCGCTTTTAAACATCTCGATAAAGGCTATTACTGCTTCAAACTTTCAATTAGCCTTAGATTAAGCAAACACTATGTACTATCTTGCTTGTATGTTCAAATCCTCTTTTTGGTTAAGCTGGCAATTAAGGCGCCTCCAGTGCACTTCCACTGGGCGACATGGCCTCCTAACCATGTGGGTAGCCTTGCGGCTCTTCTTTGCGTCAGCAGCACGTATTCTCCCCTGATATTATGTCTTCTTACGACATCAGGGAAGACTTGGGAGGCCGTACACATATACTTATACAAATAAACCATCCATTGGTAAGTGGGAAGGGAGTATCTCTTCGTCTCCAACATATTGCTGGTATATTTTAGATGATAGCACTTAATTTCCCATGTCTTAGGTTTTAAAACATATTTACAATC